TACTTTCATTGCTTTTACTGGTTGTTTGGCGCAGATAGCCTAGCTGCTTTGCGCCATAAAACACCAACCAACCAACTTACTCATGGCTTTTCTTCATTTGTCTTATTTGCTTGATGCTGATTGGGGTTCTGGATTGATCAGATCAATCTCAATCATTTCATGGATCTTTTCTGTTTTAATATGTCGTCTTTAATCCCATTTGGGTAGGCTGTTTTCTTCAGGACTGAGAATGCTCATGGTATACATTCTTTTCTTCTTTGATTTTTTTCACCACATGATTAGATACCAATTTCGTGCCTTGACCTTTGGACTTGTTTTGGTTCCAGATGTTTTTTGTGGGGCAGTCTGCGTTTTATCTGACTTAGACGTTTGGGGGATTTTACCAACACTATTCATTGGATGTCTGGTTTTGTTAGCTCATTTCAAATGGAGGTAGTCTTTTCATACTCTTATACTTCATCCATAATCAGCCCAGGTAGTTGGATTTTCCAGTTGGATAAGTTTTCCTGTTACATTCTTCACATTCTAGTCTCTTTGGGGTGTTTATTTTTAAACACCCCCTCCAACGGGAACATCCATTCTCCTCCTCAAATACATTCAAAGGTATTTTTGATTATCTGAGCCTTTATGTTAAGTTTTTCTCTTCATTTCTATTCTTCCCTCTTCTTCTATATGCTTTGATAGTTCAACATATCCCCCACAACTTGGGATTTACTGCTTCCTTCCCCTCTTCTGGATTGTTTCTATTTTCTGATGTTCGTCTCTAAAGGTGGGATGTATTGTTCTATCAGTAGAAGGCTTCAGGATAATCGTCTCCAGTTGAAAGGTCTTATCCCCTTCACACCCAGACACTTCTGCCAGTCCAAGGGGCTTTAGTTCACACTCTTTTTTTTGTCTAGTTTGACTGATTCTGTTTCATTTCAACTTGTTGATGGTGGTGGCTTATATCACTCACCAAGAGGACACTCCTTCTTATTCTCTTTGAGGTAAACGGGGAATTTTTTTTGAATCCACTCACTTGACATACATCTCCTGTAGAGTCGTGTTCCAGGTGCTTTGTCCTTATTGCTAATTGAATTTCCATTGTCTTCCAGGTGCTTCGTCCTCATTGCTAATTGAATTTCCAATCCTAACACTCTCCATAGAGTGATGTCTCAATCCTCCTAAATTTTGATGGCTCTACCTCCTGTGGGGGTACTCTTCCATGTGAAGTTTTTGAATCTTTTCTCACTTCCTTTCATCAAATTCAGACAGGTTTACATTAGTTTTTTCTCATTCTCTTAGCCTTCTTCCCCAATATTTTGAGCATCCATGTCACTCTGGTTTCAGTTTTTCTGATTGATCTTTCGTAGACTGCTTTATTTTTTCTAAGCTGTTTCGGCTCGATTTATTTTATTGTTCTGGATAAATTTTAATAACCTACATTTTAGTGGCTCATGTGGTATATTTCTTGTGTAAAAACAGTATATCAACAGAAGTTTAGGTGCACAACTAGCATGTCAACTGGAGTTTTGGTGTACAAACAGTATATGAACAGTAATTTAGGCATACGACTAATATATCAGTGGTGTTCAGGTGTACTACCAATATATCAACAGGAGTTTAACAAGGTTTGCAATAGTACTGGTGGTATCAGGTTGCCAGTACCGGGAAAGACCAGGTACCACCAATACCGGTACTCAAGCATCTCTAATCATGGGACTTGAGCAATTAGAATTTCAACTGTTCCTCCCAGTGTGTTCTCATGGGAAAATTTTTTTTCACACCAAACCAAACTGTCAATTATGTGTAAGCCCACATGGTATGATGACTATGGCAGTTGAAATCTAGGCTTTCTATTTTGTAATAAATTTAATGGGAGTCGGCCTAAGAAAAATCTACCAGCAAAGTGTAAATTAGAGCATGTCAGAGGTATCTGTGGAAAGTGGTTTCTGAATTTTCATTGATTGCTCTTTAGGCCCATAAAATTGAAGAATATAAAAACATAGTTTCAGAATATCAATGAAGAAATTATAGAGAATATTTTATGTTATATTTCATCATTTTCTAGGGGATGGACAATAAAATCCAGTAGAGGAGATAGCTCAAGAACAAATATCCAAATTCTCACACTAGGGGAATTTGAGGTTGTTTTTATATATTTCCTTATACAATTAAAACTTAAAATTTATATAATATTAAAATTTGATTTATTATATACTGATAAGCAAATCTCACAGTGAAAATTGTCAATAGCATGAAATATGGGAAACTTGTGACTCCAACATGCTGAAAGAGAATGTGAATGTGCCTACATGATTGATTACGGTTAGGTAGGTGCATGCATAATTAACTCTTAGCATGCAGGCAGGTCAAACTGCACGTCATGACATTTTAGTGAGTTACATTCAAAATTTAATTCAACTACTTAATTATCATAGTACACAAACAAACTTGACATTAAACAACTGAAATGTGAACTCAAAACTACCACGTCAAACATTTATAATTCTGTGAAAAGTGAAGCTGAAATAGCAGAGGAGGCATTCGGTCATAATTGTGAAGATGGGACATGTGATAACAGATATTATTCTCAACATATGATATATTATAAACCAGTACCAGTACTGATGGCCTGGTACCTGTACTGGGTGCGAGTACCACCTGTACCACTACTGGTACCGACTACAAATCCTGGAATTTAGGTGTAGAACAACATGTCAACAAGAGTTTAGGTGTACAACCAGTATATTAGGTCATGGTTTATTTATATTATTGCCAAGCAATGAATGTCACTAGGAACAGAGAAGTACCTAACATTGAAAATGTTTTTATATTTTACATTCATGTTTTATAAAGTTAGTATTATTTCAACCACTGTTCCACGAATATAAATATACAATAAAAAATAAACAAATGATTTTGGTAAAAAAAATAGTTTGACAGTAAGTTTTTTTCTTTGTTTTACTTAGTTAGTTGTAGCAGTGTGGTAGAAAGAAGTGGAAAGAAGGATATGGAAGGTAATGACTCCCCAGAAGAAGAAGATTGGGAGAGTGAGATTATGAGTGACAATTTATATGGTAAGATTCACTGCACTAAGAAGGAGATATGGTTAAGTTATATTTCTAAAACGAAAGCAGAAGAACATTACACAGGGTGTGATATTAACTCCATTGGCCACTGGCAAACATTTGGCTTCCATCAGTTTATGAGTTATATGTCTTTAGTGGATATGTTTTGCATACATCAGAAACATTTGTCTATGTTTGTAGTAATTACATTTCTTAATATGAAATTAAAAAAACATGTATAGTAACAGGTACATTGAAATACCTTTTTAACATGCTGTTTTACTTGCTATTTTAAGTTTGTAAAAGAAGTTGTCAGAAAAGTATTATCAGTCAGTTATCTTAGTGTTTTTATGCTCATTATTGTTGTACTTGGAACCATATGTTTTAAAAATAATTATGACCATTGTTTAGAAAGTGGTTGTTATCAACTCAGAATAATATAGTAGTTTCCCTTGACAGACACTGGCTAACACTAGATCCTAATAGGTCTTTGCTTTTAAGTTTTATGTTAAGCAAAATTGATGTATAACTGACTAATATATATACATTTGAGAAAATTATATCCAAACATACTTTCTATGAGCATTTTATGTGAAAAATTATATTTTTAGTTTTTCTTTTATGAATTCATTTCTATACATTAATAATTATCAATAAACACAGAAAGTCACAAGGAAAAAACAAGTAAGCAAAATGGTAGTGTGGAAATAGATCTACAAATTGTTTGTGGTTTGGTATAGCGCAGAATGATGGATGTGCATAGTGTTTGTGGTTTAGTATACTATGATGGGAGGTATGTGAAAAGTATTTGTGGTTTAATATGGTGTAGCAGGATATATGTGCAAATTGTTTGTAGTTTAGTATGCTGTGGCAGGATGTATGTGCAAATTGTAGTTTAGTTTGCTATGGCAGGATGTATGTGCAAATTGTTTGTAGTTTAGTGTGCTCTGGCAGGATGTGTGTGCAAATTATTTGTAGTTTAGTGTGCTGTGCAGGATATATGTGCAAATTGTTTGTAGTTTAATATGCTATGGCAGGATGGATGTGCAAGGTGTTTATGGTTTAGTATGCTGTGGCAGGATGGATGTGCAAAGTGTTTGTGGTTTAGTATAGTGTGTTTGGATGTATGTGCAAAGTGTTTGTGGTTTAGTATTGTGTGTTATGATGTATGTGTAAAGTGTTTGTGATTTAGTATAGTGTGTTAGGATGTATGTGTAAAGTGTTTGTGATTTAGTATAGTGTGTTAGGATGTATGTGTAAAGT